GGGTCTCAGGTGTGCTTAGGAAAGATGCAACTGATAGGTGAATCACACTTCTTGACAAATTGTGAAATATACTATTTACGTATAACACTGAAATAGTGCTCGTCAAAGTCACCAATTATGTGTGACCAGGGGTCCTGAGCCTCCTTGTCCCCCTGGACCTCTCCGCTGCCTTTGACACTGCTGACCATGCCATCCTCCTTCACTGCCTCTCCTCCCTCAAACACTTCAGTAGGATCACACTCTCCTAATTCGAAGCCTACTTGACCCACCGTCAACAGCATACCCTCCCTACAACCCAACATGGTCAGCTGTAGCATTACCAAGGCTCTATCCTCAGCCCCCTCTCTTTCTTGTTTACCTGGTCCCCCTTGGTAATCTCGTCCTCACACAAGGGGTAAATCTTCCACAGTTAAACATAGACAAGACAGAAGCCATCCTCTTGGCTCCCATCAATGTCTTCACACTTGTGGATCTGAACTCCTTAACTTTCCCTGCCTATCCCTCAGACTCGATGAACTTGCACACAATCTTGGTGTCAGGTTCAATTCCTAGTTTCCTTCCTAACCCACATCAGGACTGCTTGCCAGTCTCCTAGCTCCACCATTCATAAAATCCGATTAATTGAAAACTCTGCCGCCTGTACCTCACCCATACTAAATTCATACCCCTATCACCCCAGCCCTTGCCAGGCTCCACTGGCTCCCTATTGCAGAATGGTTTCATTTCAAGATACTCATACTCAACATGCAAATCACTTCATGCCCTGGAACCTCCCTACCTCTCCAACCTGCTTACACACCACTCTTCTACCCACCCCTTTTGCTCAGATGGTTCTGGCCTCCTGTACATCCCTCATTCCCTCACTCCACCTTCGGCAGCCATGCTTTCAGACAGTATGTCCTTCTTTTCCTCATTCTCTCCACCTTGCCTTCTCCTTGTCCATCTTCAGATTTCACATGAAGACCTCCTTCTTCGACTGTGCCAATGGTCACCTCTCCTTGCTCCCTGGGTCGGGGTCAAGATCTCCTGCTGTTAAGTGCTCCAAGACGCTACCCTACATGAAGGGCACTATTTTAATGCAAGGTCGTATTGCTGTTATTTACAGAAATCAACTTGGAAAAAAGAATTGGGGGGGGGTGGGGAGAGAAATGCTCCAGGTTTCTAAAATGCTGATACGCAAAAATAATGTAGGCTTTTTACTACAGCTCACTGGTTTAAAATTAAAATTTAAAATTTTAAATCGAGGCAGCAGGTGGGGGTTGGGGAGAAAGCCCATCTCCTCCAAATGTGGACTCCTGTAGCTTAGTGGTTGGAGCACTTGCTTTGCAAGTGAGAGACCTGGGTTCAATTCCCGGCAGGGCGAAACCTTGGGCAAGTTTCCTTACTCCACACGTCTGATAATAATCCCTCAAAAAAACTAATAAATTGGTCATTTCAATCCACGACTGTTTGTGGGACACTGCTGTGCACAATTGGCTGCCGCATTTCGCCCACAAATATACAGTCAATTCACTTTACAGGCTATTCTGTGAAGCGCTTTGAGACGTCTAGAAGACGTGAAAAGCGCTATATCAAATGCAAGGACGTGAAAAGCGCTATATCAAATGCAAGGATTATTATTATTAAAAAGACCCAAGTCATATTAGAAATTAGGGTTTATATATAATAATAATCCTCTCATTTGGTATAAAGCCTCATCTTTTTGTTGAGATGTCTCAAAGCACTTGAAAGGATTTTACTGTGAAGTGTAGTAAGTGTATTTTGTAGGCAAACATGGCAGCCAATTTGTGCACCTCTGTGCCCCACAAGCGGCATGCAATGAATGACCAAACAAAATATTGGTCCCGACAGAGTATTGGATATGTGAAATAGAATCTGAACAAAAGTAGCCGATGCTGTTCTAATTAATTCATAGAAAAAGAAACAATTAATCAGCTGGTTGGAAAAATATTGCAGATTTTCAGAATAAGTGCAGACTGAACAAGTAGTCTAACAGGTAGAACATTTTCCCCGATTTGTCTTCCATCTATAAAGTTTATACACAGGCAGAAATGATCAAATTTATATTAGCAGAAAATAAGATGCATTTGTTTTTCGGCTTATTTTAAACTTACCAGAGATTATTTAGACACAGACACTGCAATCAGAGACTACGCAGAACCTTATTATAGTAGCTTCTTATTTACAAAACCACTGAGCTGCACCTGGTGCAACATATCCTGGTTTGTTTGCTGGTTTATTCTCATGTCACATATGGCTCGTCTCAGTTGGAATATACTCCTCCTACTGGCTTTGTGAGGCTCAAACCAGTCAATGTTCAGTCTCCAACTAAAACAGTGACAACACCAACAAACCTACATTTGTATAGCAGCATTTCACATCAGGAGGAAATCCCAAGCCGCTGGACAATCAATGTTTCAAACCCGAGCTGGGGTCAGGATCAGCGAGGGTGGAGGGCGGGGGGGGGAAGGATGGTGACTGAAGGCACAGTTGAAGAAGAGGGTCTTGAGACGGATCCTGAAGGAGGCAAGGGAGAGGTCAAGGCGGAGGGACTGCGGAATGGAGTTCAAGAGGATGGGGGAAGAGTGGCTGAAGGCCCGCCTGTCAATGGTGGAGCGGGCAAGGCGGGGGACGTGAAGCAGGCCAAAGCCCGCTGATCGGAGTGGGCAGGTTGGTTGAGAGTTAGGTGGTCGCAGAGGGTGGGGGCGGGGGGGGGAACAGCCAGGAAGTCTTTGAAAGTGAGGTCCAGGATCTTGAAATCTTGAACTGTAATCTCTGTGTGATGGGAAGCCATTGGAGTCAGGCCAGGATAGGGGTGAGAGATTCACGGAGCCTGGTACGGGAGATGTCACGGGCTGCAGAGTTCTGGATGATGTGCAGCCTATGAAGGGAGGAGTTGGGGAGGCCGACAAGTAGGGATGTTATGAGGGTCTCGGCGGCCTACAGTGTGAGACAGTGGGGGAGCTGAGCGATATTCCGGAGGTGGGGAAAGGGGAGTGGGTCATGGCACGGATGTGGGGTATAAAGGACAGTTGAGGGTCAAATAAGACACTGAGGTTTCGTATTGGCTCCGTGAGATGCAGAGTGCATCCATGAAGGGTGATGTGGTCAGCGCCCGAGATATGGAGGCGCTGACGGGAGCCAAGGAGGGCCTCGGTCTTGTTGACATTCAACTACGGGAAGTTAGCTCTCATCCAGGACTTGATGTCCAACAGGTAGTCTGTGAGGACAGCAATGGTCCTGGAATCGCGGGCGGAGGCAGACCCCATGTCTGCGGATGACGTCACCAAGGGGAGCACATAGATATTGAAACGGAGAGGGCCAAGGACACGTAGCCCTGAGGGATGCCACACATTAGGCACAGTTTGGCGAGACCCAAGGCTTGGGGTCCCCAGATTGTGCATCGAGATACTGCTGGGAGTCAAACCAGTTAAAATCGCATGGAGAGCCCTGCTCGGCAAGCCTTCCTGCTCCTTGTTCACACAGGACCACCTCACCCGTTAGGGTTTGGTTTGCAGGATTGACAGGAGCTGCAAAGTCCTTATTCCCAGTGACAGGTCTGTCCTTCCCAAGTGCTGCCGCTGAACCAGGCCCAGGTCTGGCTCAGCGGTGCCCTGGAATACTGCGGACCCGCCCGGCTCAGCACTACCAAGACCAAGTCTACCGAGTTCAGCTCCAAGGAGAGACCCTGAGTGCCAAAGCCCTCAGGAGTGGGGTAGTCCGAGCTGGACAGGCAGGGGGACGAGTAGGCCACACAGCAGCATCAGTGCTGCAGTGCCGTCATGGCGCCCGAGCCATACGAACAGCCCTGACCGGCAGTTCGGGTGAGGCCCCGCCTCTGCTCAGCGCGAGGTTGGGGGAGGGGCGGAGCGCTCAATCAGCTCTTCGCTTCCATTGGCTAATAGCCGCCCGACGGCCTTTGTGACGCGGCGAGGACGGTGGCGTTCTATGGAAACGTCCGCTGCCGCGGCAACGAGATAACGGGCCGAGAGTGAGAGAGAGAGAGTCAGGCAGTGAGTCAGGCACCTGCACTGCGCGGCACCTGCAGAGCGTCGCGCTGCTTCCAGTTGTACAATTGCGCTGTCGGGTCGGCTCGGAGACTTCAGCGTGAAGCCGTAGCGGCCGGTTTGTAAGTACGGCGGAGCGCAGACGGGGCAGTGGCGGTCGGTACTCGTTTCGCGTGCGGCCTAGCAGCAGCCCTGCCGGTTGGGGGCGGCTGGGAGGAGCGCGGAGGCCTGTGGGTATTGTAGTGCGCTGAGGCCGCTGCGCAGCGGGGCCGTTGAGTGAGGCGACTACAACCCCCAGAGGGCATTGCGCCTGTGGCCAGCTGGCCAGTGTGTGTGCAACTCAATGTGTTGGGAGGCAGACAGTGATATGAACCTGGTGTTGCACTGCGTAAGGACTTGTAGGGACAAAAATAATCCTTGCACTTGATACAGCACCTTATCATGTCTTCAAGACGTCTCAAAGTGCTTCACACAACGTACTGTAATGTGTGGTGACTGTATTTTGTGGATGAAATGCGGCAGCCAATTGCGAGCAGCTCGTCATGAGGATTTTTTAAATGGCTTTGTTGACCAAGGAATTATTTCAAGGAGCCTTGGCTGACATTCATGAAAACGTTCATAAACTGAGCTGTGATAATCATTTTTTNGTGTGTATCAGCTCGTCTGTTTTCTGGATCTTTTTTCCGGGGTGGGGGGGTGGTGGTGTGTGGGGGAGAGAAGGAGAGTGAGGTCTCCTCGGAGCGGAAGTGGCTCCGGATGACACGCTTGGCGTTGGAATGGCAGAATTGAATCATTCCTCTGTGGCGGTCTCGGTAGTCCAGTTCCTGAGCCTCCTGAGCCAGGGCACGGCTAATGACATACCAACCAACCTGGCTCATTGGCAGGACTTGGAGGGGCAGAAAGGTCACTGGGGGCAGATATTCTTTTCACTCATCTCCTGTTAACCCTGTAACCCAAAAACCTTAATGGGGGTGGGGGGGGGGGGGCGTGCCATCGAGCTGGACAGCAGCTGGAAAATGGTTAATATATTTGACAGTCACTTGTGACAAGCTTTAAAAGCTTTATTTTAACTGGATGAGTGGCGTTAAACATGCAAGATGCTTTGATATTATAGCTTGTCAAGCTGCGTAGCTGTATATTGGCGTGACAAGTGTTTTCTTCAAATGTTTTTCAGAACACGCCTGCCTTCTGATATTATCGCATTTGTTGGTCAGATATCCATGTGAACCTAATTTCAAAAATTGTTCCGAACAAATTGAACAGCAGCATTTTGTAATGTGAGAGGACATTTTCAATGTACAGAGAGATGATTTATCTGTGCCTTGAAGGCCAAAAGATTATTTGTTTACTAAAAGGAATGAATACCAATTATTTGGTACTAGTGTATATTTCTAAATTAACCAGAAATTATCTCTTCTCCCCCCCCCCCCCCATACCTATATAATACTGGCTTATTCTAAACTTTTCTTGTATTTTTTAAATAGATAAAATCACATTGGTGTGAATTCTAAACTATTTCATTCTGTACTCTTAATCTTTCAGGATTGTAAAGCACCATGAGTTTAGGTGAAATTTATGACAATGTAAAAAAAGGGAGAGAGTATGCTCTTCTAGGGAATTATGATTCCTCAATGGTTTACTACCAGGGTGTGATCCAGCAGATTCAAAAGCACAGCCAATCCATTAGAGATCCAGCAATGAAGGTCAAATGGCAGCAGGTAACTTGAGTTTCTTTTTGTGGAATGCCTGTTTACATATTTGCCTTTAACTGTCACATATTTGCCTTTAATTGTCAGAAGTGTATGTATTTTCTGCTTGGAGGGGGAAACAGGAAATAATGTCCTATTTTGGTTTTATTTCAAGTGAAAGATTTATTGAAAGAAATTAAGTTCAAACATAATTCAACCAGTAATTTGTGACTATGTTCTTAAGTGATTTTTGAAGTTCTCCAAAATTCTCCATGTCCAAAGAAGTGGAAGATGCATGATTTCTACTATTCTGTTGTACCACGATGCCATGTTAATTTAGCGTTGATAGAAGGGATGGGAAAAAATATGCATAGACTGATAAGTGAACCGATTTGGGGAGGAACATAATAGGACACTTTAGGGCAGCAGTTAACAATAGAAAATAGAATAGGAAGATGAATTGGAAAATGTGATCAAATAGGAAAAGAAATTGAGTTTGAAAAATAAATGTTATTGTTTTTAGATGTCCATACCAATTTTTACAAGACCACTGATAGAGATCAATCCCACCTGGTCAGTTAGTTTAATAATAAGCTATACAGTTAAAGACATTATTCTGCTAGACTTACTAAATTGTAAACATTAGAAGTTGGTAATCTAACTGAATCATATTCTTGACTTCAAAAATAAATGCTGCCTAATAAGACAGTAACATCCTCATTATTGGAAGAAAAAATTACGCAATGAAATTAGAGTATTCTTGGAGCAGAGGCCAAAGCAGTATTCTTCATTAGTTAAAGTGAAGAATTATATTTTGATCAGTAGACAAATACTGTACATTTTTATTCAGATATTATTGCATTGTTTTCTAGGTTCGTCAGGATTTGGTAGACGAATATGAGCAGGTGAAGAGCATTGTTAACACTTTGGAAAGCTTCAGAGTAGAAAGACCTCCAACTGATTTCCTTGCACCTCAGCAAGATGACTGCTCCAGAGATCCCAGTGTTTGGCCACCTCCTATTCCAGTTGAACACAGGTGACAGCTTTGAATGCATAATTTTCACAGTTTGATGGTTGAATACACATGTGTTATAATGTACTTTGTTATAACATGGATTTGCTTGTATTATGGTGTGAATTCTAACATTTATTTACCCAAAAATCCAAAATGCACGCAGAAAGTCTAGCTTCAAATTGAATAGTTGCAATTCAAAATTCTGGCCAGTTTCATTAAATTGCATACTGTGCATGAAGTGATGGGGGCAGTGATTAGATAAGCCAAACATTGGCCATATTCTAGCATGGGAAGCCCGATAGCTTTCTGTGTGCATGGGGAGTGAATATGCAAACTCTGACTGGTGGGTTAGATTCTTATGGCCCCTCAACTACCACATTATCATTGGGTTCCACTGTATTTGTCAGAAGATATGAGACTGCAGTGGTTGCAATTCTGACCCAGTCTATCATGTGTTCCGCTTTTGTGGAACCTAAGATAATATGCAATTTTTTAAATATATATTTAAATCGCAAAACCGGAAGGCCATTCTTTGTTATATTTGTTATTTTTTCCATCTAGGAAGTAATTTTTTATTATTGAAATTCATCCTTAACATTTTTTTATTTTGTTTTTATTTTCAGTGAATCCACAATAGATTTTGTTTCTCATGGTTCCAAAATTTATGATTCTAAAAGCATCATCATTTTTGGTTTTAACCTTATTAATATCAAATCTGAATTACAGTCATTGGCAAGGGCCATGTGTAACTAATTCAGATATACCCTAAACCTGCATCTGTTCTTGTACTATAATAGTAATCCTTGCATTTGATATAATACTTTTCACATCTTCTAGATGTCTCAAATCGCTTCACAGAATATAATGTAAAGTGAATTGACTGTATTTTTGTGGGCGAAACGCGGCAGTCAATTGTGCACAGCAGTGTCCCATAAACAGTCGTGGATTGAAGTGACCAATTTATTATTATTTTTTGCTTGAGGGATTATTATCAGGCGTTTGGAGTAAGGAAACTTGCCGAAGATTTTGCCCTGCAGGGAATCGAACCCAGGTCTCTCGCTTGGAGGCGAGTGCTCTAATCACTGAGCTACAGGACTCCATCCTGCACTAAATATGGAGTGAGAAGCAATCACCGTTTACCGCAAATAAATGTCTTGTTTACTTAACTCCCTCTGCTTCTCTGTGGTCAAACCACTTTACCTTGGGAAAATTTTAATTCCTTCATGATTATCTCAACCTGACTTTTGTAGACTTACTGCTACATTGATTTATGATGGAACTACATCAGTGTTAGTTGCCTTTTATTATTTTGTTGGCCTTATTACTGTTGCCTACTCCATCTCTTTTAAAAGGTTAAATTACAAATATTTTATGCTAATTTAACTTCATCTAATAATCATTTTACATTCTTTGGCAAATTCCTGTGATCCTGGTCATGTTTTCATTTGCAGGATTTGATTGTGTACAAAATCTTTGATGTGAATTTTAAAATAGATTATCCCAAACTCTATCAATACTTGATTGACCCACTGTGAAAAGGTTTGGTTGTTATTGTATCATTCTGAAAATTCTGCCTGATGCACTGCTAATACAATTCCTCTTTATCTAGAGCTCCTCAGGTGAAGCGACCAAATCGGGACATGAAGCCCATTCGTAAAGAGTCACCAGTTGTCCAGGCACGGGGCCTTGTAGGTCGAGCTCAGCAAGCAGGGAGAGCTGAAAAAGCCAGCAGCAAATACACCAGTGATTCTAGAGGCAGGGGAAGAGATGACCGGGTAAGTCTGGTACACTCTCTTAATTACAAAGAAGTAATTGTTCAAAAGTTATTTTCTTGTCAAATAAAATAATAATAATCCTACATTTGATATAGTGCTTTTCACGTCGGGAGGACGTCCCAAAGCGCTTCACAGAACACACTAAAGTGAATTGACTATATTTGTGGGCGAACGCGGCAGCCAATTGCGCAAAGCAATGTCCCACAAACAGATTAAAAATGACCAATTTATTATTGTCTTTGGTTTTGGAGGGATTATTATTAGGCTCTGTGTGGAGTAAGGAAACTTGCCCAAGGTTTCGCCCTCTGCCTGGAATTGAACTCAGGTCTCACGCTTGCAAAGCGAGTGCTCTAACCACTGAGCTACAGGACTCCACATATGTTAGTTACTGTTGTTCACATTAGCTTTATATCAGACTACATGTGTGTTTAGTTTGTTTAAACTGCGTTCTGCAATTTGGCAACAGAAACAACTTGTATTTACATAGCACCATTCACCTGGGGCAGTGTCTTGGAGCGCTTAAAGCAAAGTTTGGGTACTCAATGTTATGAGGCACTGAGTCGTGTACTTCAGAGTTCCTTTCAGGTATCTTCCCATTTCTTATTTGGTACCCTTCATTCTGAACTGAACATTTATACCTTAAGGACTTCAAAATGGAGGTTGTGAGGCTTCTGACAAAATTTGTATAACTATATTAAAGGGACCTTCAGCTGTTTCATTTTTCGCTTTGAAAAGTGATGTATATACTATATATAGTAATATATAAATATCCCCCACTCTCCAAATCTCATGAAGATATTGAATCATGCTGGAGTATAGCCCACAGATGTTGCCTGTTTGCACCCAGCATCTAGTTCAAGTGGCCAGTCAGTCTTCATGTGTGAACCTAGGTGGTGTACACATTCTGGCAGCCTGTGTGATATGAAGCCAAGTTTTCGTTTTGCTTCATGTCCATCTATTAACATTCTAATTAGAATTGGTGAATTGTAATGCTAAAGGCCTGATTGTCTCCTACCCTGGCCTTCCCCTTTGGGATTATGTCTAAGATTTAAACTGCATTTTGTAATTTGACAACAACAAAGTCGCCTCACCTCTGCCTTTGGGTCACTGGGCATCTGAATCAAAGGACTTAATAAAGCCCAACTATAGCCCCTTTATTGCCCAGACTGAGATGAGATAACTTATCAGATATCTATGGTTGAAACTGAGTGATACATACCCATAAATTCTCAGTTTCATGCTAGATAATAGTTTTAATTGTTAGAGTTGTAGGTTAAAATAAAATAGATAAAATTAATTTTTATTTAGTTAAAAATTAATGTCTGGCTTTTATAAGCTGTCGTTAGATACAAACTTTATAATACATTTGATGATTTAAGAATAATACATGGAATTAAGAGGATGGGCAGAAATACTATTGCAATAAAACTTTGCCATTTTAGATGCACCAAATTCCCTGTGGAAACTTTAGGTGCTTTTAAGGATTGAATTTTATTTTTTATTACTTAAATTTTGATGGAAACATATTTTGGAATGTAGATGGCACGGGAATTGGGCTAGTTAGTGAGGTGTTCAGCAAAGCACTTAAGCTTTGAAGACCTACCCAAACATATTTTAAATTAATTGCATGTATGTTCAATCTTAGTGATCTGTCTGATTACAGGGCAAGAAGAATCTGCATGATGGAGGAGATGTGGATGTCAAGAAATTTGATGGAACTGGCTATGATAAGGACTTGGTAGATGTTCTTGAACGAGATATTATATCCAGGAATCCTAATGTTCACTGGTATGTAAGCATTTCTATTTTAGAAAGATATACTCACAAATCTTAATGTCTTCTGATAAGCATGTTAAAACCCTCTGGATTTGGTATAGGAACTAATCTTTGTATTTTATTTTGCCTAGGGATGATATTGCTGATCTGGAAGATGCTAAGAGACTGTTGAGAGAGGCTGTGGTACTACCCATGTGGATGCCTGACTTCTTCAAAGGAATAAGACGACCTTGGAAGGTAGAATTTGCTTTTTTTTAAATATAAAGTTTAATTGAATTTAGAACCAGGTGATTTTAATTTTTACCTGGAGTGAGGAATCCTTGCGATACTTTCCTCCCCATCTAAATTGCTAGCACACCTTTGGCAAACTATTTTACAATAGGGTGATAGGCATATTCCTCATATGTCCATTGCAGTTCCATTTGGATTAAAAAGGTTCAATGGGGTTGACAGCTTAGACTTCCTAAGAGTTGATCTGGAACAGGAAAAGCAAGGTTCCAGAGAGGACACTTAAGTCATAGTTGGTAGCATATATCTTGAGTTTGGCCCGTTACCAAGGTTTCTCTTTTATTTAAACAACAAAGCTTCACCCGCACTTTCATATTAGTATGTCACATTTTTAAAGTGAATCTGTTTTTCCTCTTCTGGAATTTCTACTGTAGATGTGGTATTTTCCCCTTGTGTTTTTTTAATATCTATCAAGATCAATAATGTTTTGATATACATATCAAATCATTGTTTCTTAAATTCCACTCCAGGCATTTTCTGTAATTTTAAACTTTTCATATACATTAGAGTAGTAACACAAAACTCCTCTGGGTGCTGCTGTTGAACTACAGTTATCACTTCACTAGATTCCTCGAGTGGTGCTTTATCATTGCTCAAGCAAGAAATTGAAGCTTAAAGTAATCTTGATTCCATAAATTTTACAAGCCTGAAAATTATTTGCCCAGCAAGTGTCAGTTAAAGTCATCCAGACAGAAGGTTGCACATCTAATTTCAGAATTACTCATCAAAACTGGGGCAATATTATAGTGCATCTGTACGCCTCTGGATTATGGATTATCAGAGTTTCTGCTCTTGAATGTCAGTGGATTTGCTCAAATGTCTGTATTAAGCTTGGTTATGATCAATTGTGATCAATCTTGTCAATACTTGCTGTCGTTGTTCATGATGGTCCCTTTGGTAAGGTTCTGGAGGATATACCGTCTCAAGATGTACGACTTTGACCGTACTTTCAGTCAGTTTTCCTCTTCCCGAAAGTACTGTTAGGAGTGGAGTTAAGCACTCTATCAAAACCATCTTATTTTGTTTGCCGGAATTTATACATAATGACCTGTGAACAGAGGAACCAAAGTCATTTCTTATTTATATTTTAAAGCTTGTTTATCTAATATGGCAGCAAAGTTGCATTAGTTCAGTAACAATTACAATAGGCTGGATCACACCAAATAATATTGGCTGTTATGCTTGAGTATAGAGCAATGTTACTTAATATTACAGTATCAAAGTTCATAAGATTCATAAGCAACAGATGGAAAGTCTCAAGTTCTCTTGCTTCTCATTTCTCATGGACTTCAATTAGCAAGCATTGTCTCTGGACCTGGCATGCTGATAACACCAGACGTCAATTTAAGAAATCAAAAGTTTTGTCTTTAACAGTTGTATTCCTGTATCATTGTTTTTTCTTCCCTTTCTACTGTCTTGGATATGATACCCATGAACTGATTTTCATTAAATCAATGCAGTCTCATCAACAATTATGATGAACGCTGCCGCGTTCGCCCACAAATATACAGTCAATTCACTTTGCAGTGTGTCGTGTGAAGCGCTTTGGGACGTCCTCTTGACGTGAAAAGCGCTATATCAAATGCAAGGATTATTATTATAATTAACAAGAGAGCTGCACCTGTGATAAACACATTTCTTACTTCTGAACCAATTTAATTCTTCAAGCCACATATACATATCATTTTCTCATAACAATTTATCTAAAGTTATAGCAACTACCCGTAGCATATATCACGCTTAGACACAAACTCGACAATTTTGCTGATTCTGATTATGCTTATAGTGTCCAGAAATCATGTTTTGCTGTGGACAGTTATATTGCATTAAATGCAGTTAATTGCTGATCCCCAAATGAAATTTGTTCTTCTGTATAGAACAATTAAAAAAAAATGTCCGAGGAAAATGTTTCTAGTTTGAAAGCTTGTTGCTGAAAGGGTTTCCAAGCTCCTGCCTTGGAAAATACTTCAAACAAAATGCCAAATACTGCAGATGCTGTAAATCTGAAACAAAAACAGAAGTCACTGGGAACACTCAGCAGGTCAGGCAGCATCTGTGGAGAAAGGAAAGTGAGTCAACGTTTCAGGTCCATGACCCTTCATCAGAACTGTTCTGATGTATTTGTGGCTTGAAGAATTAAATTGATTCAGGAACTGTTTTGTTCTTTCTCCATAGGTGCTACCTGACTTGCTGAGTGTTCCCAGTGACTTCTGTTTTCATTGGAAAATACTTTGTTTGATACCTTATTATAATTGTGTTTTTGTAAATCATTGATATCTCCAATTTATTTCTGTAGTTAAGAATTTTGCAAACAAGGTTAAAACTGAACAATGTAGAATTGTTTTGCATTCATTTTTTTAATTCCAGTTGTTACAATTTGAAAATTCACCATCTTCAATGCAACATTTTTTTGTGGCCCTAATGTGATAAATTTAATCTAACTCTATGGTGTTTGGACACAACTGTTCTGTCTATTCATATCTAAGGATCATTTGTGTCGATTGCACTGCCTTTGCAATCCATTGGCTTTGTCATCCACTATTGACGCTTGTAAATGGATAGACAGAAATAATAAAGCAAAGTGTGCAGATCTGGGGCTGTTTTTTTAAATATACCGTTTCTCATTTACAGTGAAAAGATGGTTTATTATCTATGCTTAAACCATAGTACTATATTTTTCATCAAAATGTGTTTCATAGATCATGTCTTTCTTATACTTGCAGATAAATTTGATATTTTGCATTTCATACTATTCAAACCTATGGGTGACATTGTACTTCCATTTCTATTCTATTATTTCTGCTTTAGCAGTCATTCATAATTCATGTCTTCCAATTCTCATGCCTTTTTGATGTGATATTTAATGTTATTTGAGATAAGTATTTTAACAACTCAACCAGATCAAAAATGTGTAATTTTTTACACTAATTTTCTATACTTGCAAGCGTACTGGCTACAGTTTGCTTCTGAATCTAATGTATTGTTCAGTCAGATTTTTAAAACTTTTTACTGCTTTGATTTTTTTAATATATGGCAATTTCTCTCTTTTGAAGATGTCTGGCGCCACACATTTATTCATGGCAGGCTATGCCATGAATAGTAATGGTAATGTAATGCTAATGGCGTACTTGCGTCACTGGGAGCTGCCAGAATCTTCACACCCACTGAATTTATACGGCTCCTGAAAACACCTGATACAGTTGCAATGATTCAACACTTATTTATATTGCAATTTTAACACAATCCTCTTCAACATATGTTCCACTTGGCATTCTTTTCATTTTCTTTCTTCTTACCCAAACCCATCCAAAATTCTAATGCACATCCTGTTTGCTGTGAAACATTAACGTTAAACAACAACGACAAAATTACAGTATAACGCCTTTCACATCGGGAGGATGTCCCAAGGCTCTAAAAACATTGTTGGAGATGTAGCAAAAACTCTAACTCTGAACAAATAAGTATGGTTTTAGATTTAATGTTATTGGTATTCTATAGGGTGTTCTAATGGTGGGACCACCGGGTACAGGAAAAACCATGTTGGCTAAAGCTGTAGCTACAGAGTGCGGTACAACATTCTTCAATGTGTCCTCTTCAACCCTGACTTCGAAGTACAGAGGCGAGTCTGAGAAGCTAGTTCGCCTGTTGTTTGAAATGGTACGTAAAACCTTTTAGCCATATATGAAGTTGCTAGCAGTTGAGAAAGGCAGGATCAGGCCAGTTCTTTTACTTCTCCTTTTTCTCTTACTCCTTCCATCTCCATGCATCAAATTTCCAAAGGGGGTTCACTGTCCATCCTTTCATGATTATTATCCTTGAAGAATGGCACAGATTAGAAAAGTTTTCTTGCCTTGTTGCATGAAATTGGATACTGTATAGTGTATTGAGAGCTGCATTTTGAGCATGTCTTTGTGACCACTGAAACATGGAAGAATTAGCAAGTGCTAAGTTACAGCCAGCCTTGTTGCTAGTTTTGGGGCTTCTGTGCTGTTGGGCGGGAGAGAGGAAATTAGCTGAAATTGTAACCATCAATCTAATCTTTAACTTTATGTGAAAAGTAGGTCCACACAATAATTTTCTACTATTTAGAAAATAGAATGACCAATTGCTCAACATGAGGTACTGCCTAAGAAGAAGTCCATGGCTATAATGGACTTCTAGTATAAAGCCTGGTGACTGCAATGAGAAGGAATGCAAAAGTTACTCTATTGAATAAACATTCATAGTCTCTGCTGACAATCCAGTGCAGTGCTTGGGAATGCTAGATTTTGGAAGTTATATCGCACCCATAGTTCAAGTGAACATTAAAGATGCTGTGAAACTATCTTCTTCCAAGTATCCTGGCTCACAGTTCTTCAGATAAAATTGATCATTCACTTGATGGGTTTTGTTTGCGAGAGATTGTTGTGTTCAGATTTGCTGCTGAGTTTGCTTACAAAATACACTGTCACTACACTCTTCAGTAAATCTTGTCAGATGCTTTGAGATGTTTCGACAACATGATAATTTAGGTTTAACTTATAATTATATATTAAACTTGTATGATCACTTCAATCTGTTGTACTTGAGCAGTTTTTCATTTCTAATCTTTTTCTAAACTTTTTAATCAATCTACAACATACAAAAAGAAAAATGTCAAGCTCAACTGACAAGTACACCAATGTATCTGCTAAAAATTCTTCAGTAATATATCTGGAATGAAAGAATTAGATGTTTTCCATAATGGCAAATTAAATTAGACTAACACCCCAGCTGGTGCGACTTGTTGATGGGGGGGTTGGGGTGATGTCCAGAATTTTTGGCTGATTGTAATTACAAAGTTTTTCCAGTTGTGAAAAATGCTGTTAATTGCTAGTACCAGCATTATAATGGTTTGAATCCCCAAGCAGAAGATAGTGAATCAGCTACCTTCTGCTCGCAGGATTCAAACCGAGTCACTGATGATCTCCCCGGCCACCGAAGGTCATCAAGCACTGTGAGATGCCGGTTATGCTAAGAGAGTAGGCTGGCAGGAGTCGATGCGCTGACCTACAGAAATGTTTCTTTTTCAGGCCTGGTCCGGCTAGGTCCAAAGCTTGGTAAGCCGTGGTTTACTGTATACAGTCTCAGACCCTCATGGTTTGATTTTTCATGTACTGGATGTGATGTCCACCTTAAAATATTTAGAAATATATTTTTTACAACATTGCACTTTTGAAATTAACTTTAGATTCCTAATTATTCACATACTTTTGACATTGTGTGTGTATACTCAGGATATTTTTTATTGCTTAAATTGCCCACAGGCCAGATATTATGCGCCAACAACTATCTTCATTGATGAAATAGATTCTATCTGCAGTCGAAGAGGCACATCTGATGAACATGAAGCCAGCCGCAGAGTCAAGTCAGAGATACTCGTTCAGATGGATGGTAAGTTTCCTGTGTCAGGCATTATTTCTGTAAATATTTTTTAAAAAATGTGACCATTATGTATTGAAAGCAGGAAGATTGTTTTTGAGGATTTATCTTGCTATACTTGGTAATTGATACTTAAGTCACCATCTCTGCTAATACGTATGGTTTCATGATGTGTAATGTAGGGGAGCCTTATTATAATGATTGAGTTCAAGAGCTCAGAGGCCATATTATAAGGGAAGCATGACTTTGGGTGATCAGGGCACTGCCGGTGTTGCTTCTTGTGTTTTCCTGAATGTAGCAAACATGCCTGTGAAGTGCTTTAAGATGTCTCGACGACATAAGGCGTGATATCAAAAGCAAAGATTATTATTTATTATGCGTAAAAGTGCCTCTGATGTCACTTGCTGCATGTGCACATGATGCTCAATAAATTGAGCTGATGTCATGTTCTTTGCGAATTGGACTCTGTACTGGATACTTTGTTTTAAGACAGTTCAGAAACCCATTGCCATGCTTAAAGCATACGCAGACCATATATGCATGGCCCCTTTGCATGGAAATCTCCATTTTCCATTTGAATGAAATGTGCACTCCAGAGGGACAAACCTGCTTAGCTAATTTCATAAACTATTTGGTGCTCGTTGGTGAGAATCAAAGTTTAGTGACCTCAGATTGTGTGTTGGGGTACTACTGGAGTTTAATCAACAACTTGCATTTATATACCGCCTTTCATACGGGGCTGCGTCTCAGAGCACTTAATAATGGCAGTTGACTGAATTCTCGATTAATGGATGTGTTTACCATTGTTTTTTGTCAATTGTGTCTAAAGGTGTCGGGGGTGCTTCAGAAAATGATGATCCTTCAAGAATGGTTATGGTGTTAGCTGCAACAAATTTTCCTTGGGATATAGATGAAGCTTTAAGAAGAAGACTGGAGAAAAGGGTATACATTTCTCTGCCTACAGGTACATCTCTTGGAAATATCTGTTTCTTGATGCAGGGGTGTACTTAGTATCTATGGAATCTGGATCTGTATTCAAAACACTTCAGCTTCTTGAAATGTGAAAACCTTTTATCCTTATCAATTACATTTTGTCATTGTATGAATTGTGCCGGAAAGGTTTGGTACATTAGCTAAGCAACAGCCACAAGCTATTAACCAAACTTTTTTTTATATATCATGTTTTCAAAACCAAAACAAATATATTTTTTGCACCACCAGAAATGGGCAGGGCAGAGCTGTTGAAAATAAATCTCCGAGGAGTTGATGTTGCTCCAGGTGTTGATGTTACAATTATTGCTGCAAAGATGAAGGGTTATTCTGGTGCGGATATCACCAATGTTTGCAGGTAAAGATTTTTAATGGAACTAAGATGACTGGTGCAAAGAGGGGGCCCAAAGTGTCAAATACAATGTCAGGTTCAGAAGATTCAAACTAGATAGAATCCCAGTCTTAATATAATCAATTTTATGTTCTTTTTGGGAATGTTTACTAGTTCACTAGACACAGCAGTTTAAATAAAGGTAAAGGGTGGGGATGGTTAGGCCAGGACCAGGATACTCCAGCCAATCAGAATTGTGCAACTCTGATGAGATAAATCTGTCCCAGCTGAGAGAGTGTAGAGGTAGGAGTTTAATGCTGTTTGAAAGACATCAATGGGAAAGAAAATATGATTGATAGAATGATGACACTTTTTCTATATGCTTATTCTTAGAGATGCTTCCATGATGGCAATGCGGCGTCGTATCCAAGGCCTAACACCAGAAGAAATCAAAGCTCTGTCGAAAGATGACTTGCAAATGCCTGTAACCATGGATGACTTTGAACTGTCTCTAAAGAAAATTTCCAAATCGGTCTCTGCCTCTGATCTTGAAAAATATACGACTTGGATGGCTGAGTTTGGCTCGGTATAGTTCATCTATATAGTGTACTTTGTAAAAACTATTTGAGGATGTGGAGCTTTACTTTAACAAACATTTTAGTACATAAGAGAGAGGCTGTGAAGTCATGGGAGTATGAAGATCAATTTTGCACATTTTGTTTCATGAATATGTAATACACTATCAGTAATAGCCTTCAGAATCAATTCAACATGAATCCTGACCTGATGCTTATGAATTTAAAGCACTTTAATGCACTAACAATTAAGAAAGCATTCTATTTACTGGGATAGAGATGAAGTTGTATCAAACCTTATAATGTTATAAAGTGTCTGTCTTGGCCAGCAATTAAGGAAATAGAGTATTTTCCAAAAGTGTTGGTCAAATTATTTCAGCTGGATCTCAAAATTGTAAAGACAATGTTACATATCCTAATTTTGATAAGCGCTCTTTTTACTGCTCCCTCTGAATGATCCTTTATCCATAACACTCTGTATAAATGGTTTTGATTCTAACAGTCTAGAAATTTGCAGTAATGTGCTTCGATAACACTGATTTCTTTCAAAATGTCCAAACTAGACTGAGTTGCTCCAACATATAAAGCAATGTATGATCAATGGGAATCATTAAATCCAATACTTGAGCTTGGTTCACCCACAAAATACGGTCAATTCACTTTACAGTATCTTCTGTGAAGTGCTTTGCGACGTCTCAAAGATGTGATAAGGTGCTACATCAAATGCAAGGATTCTTATTATTGCTCATTTGGCAAAAGGCCACACCAATAATCGTTTGCACAGGGAAGTGAAGTCCTATAGTGGCATGGTGTTTGGACTTTTATGTAGTTGGTGTAATGTTTGTATTTAGTACATATTGTTTCGTTTATATAGTTGATGTTTTTTTTAATTTAATGAACATTATTGTGTTGTAACTGTTTTGAGATCCCTGAAGAATCGTCCTGGCTTAGAAGGGAACTGAAATGTATACTGATTGGATTGGAAAATACTGAATAACAATTGAGTTGCAAACACTTTTGAGATTAATTCAAGCAAACAAACTAGATAATAGTACTTACTTTCATGTTTAACTTTATGTTCTTAAGGTGTTGATTACTTTTTGCTTTTATGATTCAATTCTGAAAAATGGTTCATACTTCTAATACAGTTATAAGAGTTGTCCTGCATCTCCAGTGAACTGTATTTGATTGAGGATCAAAAGGGACCTCTGGTGTTAAATAGAAATATTTATATTTTTTAAACTGGATAATATTCTTTCATTGGGCAATCTTTAGTTCTTAGGACTGATGCATTTTTATTGATATTGGCTAGTTGAAATAAGCTTAACTTTGAAACCTTTTGGGCATTCAGCCATCTACTATTCAAAAGTATAACAAATATAGTAGTAGCAGGATGTTGGATCACATATCTCATAGACAGGTACATAATGGCAGTAGAGAGGTAGGCAGTAGCAAAAAAGGACATCTGACATTAGATAAAACTATATTCCAAGGTACTCCATCTTTTTCTCTCTGACAACTGGTTAATATCTTATTAATAATCCTTGCATTTGATATAGTGCTTTATCACATCTTCGAGATGTCTCAAAGCACTTCACAGAATATACTGTATATTTTGTAGGTGAAATGCGGCAGCCAATTGTGCACAGCAGTGCCCCACAAATAGTCGTGGATTGAGTGATCAATTTATTATTCTCATTCTTTCCCATCTTTATATCCAGCAGCCTTATTAGTCTTGACTAAAACTTGATATTGGCTAGTTGTTTGAGGATTATCTGATTTTTCACATGCAAAATAGAAAAGATAGGTAATGATTTGTATATCTGTCTGTCTTAATGGTGCTAATATAGTAATATAATTTTAATAAGTACATATTAGACTTTAACCAATAATTTAATATAAAGAAGTTGCTATATTTTGCTTTCAAATTAAAATGATGCTCACCATCTAGTTACAGTTAGGGAATATGTGGATGGTCATCTTGGCAAAATTTATTCTGTTCTATAGTACCATAAAACACACAGTTGCTCCACTTTACCGTGAATCCTATGAAGCGTTTTGAGACGTCCTCCTGACGTGAAAGGTGCTATAGCAAATGTGAGAATGATTATTAATTTATTATCCACGTATTGTAATAAAATAGAAAGTTACCTACATCACAAATAAGTCCTATGGTGTAATTCCTAAAAGATCAGAGATAACGGAAAAGGTAACTTTCTTTCCCATTCAATATAGGTTGGATCATTGGGCTTCTTGCATTCTATAAGCCTGCCTATCAATCTTTTTTTACAGAATTGAGATTGTAGTTGGTTTAATTTTCCCTGTAGCTAATTCGGTATTAATGTTTAGTAATGATGAGCATTCCTTTAGTATTTGTACATTGCACTTTTTGTAACCCAAATATTTTAGAACAAAGGGATTCTAATACTGTATCATGTCTTTTTTATATTGTCTTAGTATGAGCACTACTACAAGGACTATTTTGCTGATGGTGTGTAATTGTGCATCTTAAATTGTCATGTTATTTATGTTGTATTTTGCTCGTATGTAACAGTACTACAAAGTATTAAAGTTCCAATTTTTATTTGTGAAATATTCATGAACATGTCAGATAATTTTGATTTGCCTATCTAACACACCTTTTTGGGCTACTGACAACTCTTGTGTGTTTTAAGGGACAAAATAAATTTGAATCATTGTAAGAATTAACTGTTTGGTCAAAGTGATGAATCACACAGTTAAAAGAGTACACAGTAACCAGTGAAAATGTGTTCTTATGTATTTCTAACAGGGAAAAATCACAGGCTGTAGAATGTTAAAAAGAATGATTTCTATCCAACATGCGGTGGTGTTTTTCTCCCCTTGATTCACCTTAATCTAATTCCATTGCCATATTCTAATCTTCCTTTTTAAAATGTCCATCTAATTCTCTTTTAAAATGCATGTTCCGTTTAACAATCTTAAGGAGAACTTCTGCTACCTGGTGTGATGTTTTCCTGAAACATTTATATTCTAAGTTTGTGATTAAATGGTAATAGTGAATTAGATGGGTGGAACAGATGGGTGTTTCTTATGTACTTCAGAAATGGAGAGTTGTGTAGGACAACTGTGACCTCTAGTCTTTGACATCTTATTCAACTATTAGCCATGTTTTGGCACCTGAGTACAAGGTGATTTGTGTTGTAGCTGCTTTTCAACACTATCTGAATATTAGCATTGCTCCCACTTGGAGCTGTTAGTGGAGAATGAGTTGCAACACTGCAATTCTCATTTGTACATCATTCTCTCAACATTCTCCTCAATGAAGAAGCCCTTGGTCATGTGTCCTGGGTTGTTACCATGTGTTCTTGAGAAATAGTTAGACTTAAGAGGCCATTTGTACCTGTCCATCTTGAAAAAAATAATCAGCAGTTTGAGCGAGTAGAAATGGTTGTTTCCAAAAATCAACCTTATTACCCTCAATGTTAATCTGCTATATATCCCACTTCAGAGATAATTGAACCGGGAAAGTTTTTGTCTGTAACAGATATATCCAATGGTTTGAAGCTACTTCAAATAATAGTATGCAAACTGATTTGTTGCTTCTTTACTGCATTATCTCTGAAATGCACCAAATTCTTCCAGACTAGCTTTTGGGCACATTTTACCTGTGAACAAACTTCGCTCAGCTTGTTGCTTGCAGAGTTTACGGAAAGCATGATTAAGTTGGTTTCAAGCTTCATCTGCAGGAAGAGGTGTCTGGTATATATTTTGTCCCTTGAGTAGTTTTCACATAACTCGATTGTGCATTTGTGTCTGGTTTAAAGACTGGCCTTTTTAGTTAACTTGATTAATTACTCTTGAAAGATGGATTTCACATTTTTTGATTAACATGATTAAAGCCAGAAAAAACATGACTTTGATGGGAATTCCACTGCTATTCTCTTGATGTGGATGTTGTGTCCTTGTACGTGTGTGCACTGCAAATCCTCCATTGAGTAGGGTTGTGTGATTTCCTGTGCTGTACAAGTACGATCGCACAGTTATAAATATGAGTTGTTTTTGAGTTATCTGCTGGTTACTGGTCAACTATGTTTGGTTAAGGGTAGGGCCTCCATTTTAGAACCATAGAAATTTATGATACTAAGGTAATTCAACCCATTGTACCAGAGTTGGTGTTTTCCTCTCCAATAAAGCCATCAGTCATAATTCCAACTCTCTGCTCTTTCTTTGTACCCTTGGATAAATAGATACATGATCTCTGTATTGAGATGAAATGTGAAGGATAAAGCAGTAGTTTTATTTGCTTCACAGGTGAAGTGCAGTCTGCCAGAAGCCTTTCATGTTTGAGACCGCTGACATTATCACAGGTTTTGAGGACAGCTGATGTGCTTTGAAAGCCATATCCTAGGAGAGCTTCAAAGACTATAGAATTGAGAGGAAGGCTATTACATGACACAGTTGTTTTAACTTGGTGCTTCCCCCTTTACAGACTTATTTACTTGGGTATTTTTTGTCTTTGATTCAAGAAACACATAAAATATTCTGTAACTGTCATCTTTACTCATTTACAATCATTGGCTCTTTTCAGGATGATAAAAATTGCAGTTCACATTAATGTGTTGGTTACATTTTACCCGAGTCCTGAAAATACATTTCAAGACTTCTTCATGTTTTCCCCTGTTTATGAAGCCAGGCAGGTCTAGTGTAAAACAACAGTTTGCACTTTTATAGGGTGCTTCACATAGGGTAGCATCTCAGAAATCTTATATATAATATATATCAAACTATATTAGTTCTACAAGACTATGTGGCTGCCTTCTGCAAATAATTTTAGAAAGGAACATCATAAACCAGTGTGTTGCATATTTTTAAACTTATTAAAGTATGTAGTAATAACAACAAAAACACATTACTACACAAATGCAATTTGTTGTTATTACGTACTCTTGAAGGCTCAGTTATTGATGTCATTGTAGAATCTGAGTTTGCCACATAAAAATGCATACACTACTTTGATTCTTAACTGGACTTTTGAGTCCAATGGACTGAACAACAACATCAAAACGGCATTTCTATACTTAAGACAGCTGTTTCACGTTAGCCAGTGGACACAGAGCCCAGTTGGAGACTGAACACCTGAACTGTTGGAGGCGGAAAAATGGGTTGGAGGTGGAGCAGAACACAGCTTTCAGAACTCGGCCTCAGCAACAAGAATTTTATTTAAACCGGCCTGAAAAGTTATGTTAAACCTGTTCTAAAGTGTCTTATGCTATTTATATTAATCTATTGTACTCTTGTGTTGTATGTCCCAGCTAAATGATTCAGCTATACATTTGTTAATCTCATGTGACATTAAAGTAATACTTGCTGTTTACCAAAAGACAGTGAGCTATTGAAGGCTTCCAGCTATATATTCAGCTGCCAAACCTAGTTATTGAACACATAATGCATTCAGTAAGAAATTGAGGGCCTAAAGAACTTTCACTCCTTGCAAGTACAAGATCCAGGTTCATGTTTCTATTTTGTCAGCTTGGTTCAATTACTGGCACGCTCGCATCTGGGTCAGAAGATTATGCATTTAAGCCCCATGTTCAGACATTGAGCTCACTCTTAACATTGTGTTGGTGGAATGCTATAATATTTGTCACTTTGAAACCTTTGATGAGACATGAAACTAAGGTGCCTT